TTGATTTTTTATTTGTGTCTCTTGCAAGCAGGTAGTTGTCTTTTGTTACTTGGCATCCGACCGCATCAAAACACAATTACGATCAAGAAGCGCTGTATTTTCAGAGCGAGCGACAAATTTTGACGCCCGCTCCAAAAATACTAATAGTTCCAAAAAATTCAACGCGACTTCATTTGAAAATCTGTTTTTGATGAACAAATTTCTTTAAAATAAATTATATCTTCATAATTGTAGACACCGAAAAAATTTTGTTTTTTTTTCAATTGCCGACAAATCAGAGTTTTCAACTATATGTGACCAGCCCCACCTTCTTAAATGTTTTTTAGACTATACATCAACAACATTTATAAAAAACTATAGAGCAGTTTTTCAGCAAATAATTGTTAAACAAAAATTAAAAATTGTCTATATTTCACGCAACATTGCGAGAAAAATACTTAAATTTTGGAAAAATTGTACATGCTCTTATATCAATCTATGTTTAGCGAAGAAGGGAAGAGATTTTATTAAAGGAAAAAATCTCTTTCTTTAATATTATAGTTGTAGGAAGACGACGATTTTTTTTTAATTTTCGAAAAATCTGAGTTTACAACCAACATGAGACCTGCAAAAATCTCTTAAACGTCCTTCAGACTATCCAACATCAAAATTAATTTAAAAAACAATGGCGCCTTCTTTTTAAATTTGAAAATCTCCCAGGGGCTTCATGTAAAGTACACCCCAAAACTAAAATATCGGTTTCACATGCAAGGCGCCGTGACATCAGCCAGATCAATTAGAAAATATCAATTTTCGAGAAAATCGGCTGAACGGCTAGCGGTGTTCACAGTCAGACGGACAGAAGTAAAAAACTCATTCTCTTCACGTCTGCTTTCATTTTGTCGCCCGAAAACTACTTTTTTTCACATTTTCTCAGTTACTCAGCTCCGTAATGCTAGAACCGAAACCATAATACACATATCACTATTATAGAAGTACTCATGTCCTATTGGGATGACCGATTTGGCTAAATTGGTAGGCTCCCCGCTCTTCGGAGAGTAGGTTAGTTGGGAGGTCAAGGAATTATTATTTCTGACAATTCTGTGTCGCCACAGGAAATAATGGAGGATTCTACAAACTTTATTGAAAACCATTTGAAGCAATTCTTTCTTACCATCTCTTATTACATATGAGAAGAAATATAAAGAAAATATTTGGACCGGTTTTGAGAAACAAAATCGTAATTTTTAAGCGCAAATTACGCAAAACTACTTACTTTTACAAAAAATGTGCATGACCTTTCTTAAAGACCTCATTTTGTATAACACACTTTGTCTGAGTCAAAAACTTCTTTCATCAATTCCGTAGTTTTTTATTTATTTTGGTTTTGGAGAAAATTGGGAGATATCAGCGAAAATGAAACCTGCTTTAACAATATATGTGCATGGACTTTCTTAAGACCTAATTTTGTACAATAGTCTTTGTCTGAGTCAAAATCCTCTTATCTTCAATCTTGCAGTTTTCATTATTTTTTTGTAATTTACAAAAATTGGAAGATATTACCGAAAATGAGACCTACACTATTCTCTTAAACCTATTTCCCACTGTTGAACAACAAAAATTAATGAAAAAATTTGAATTTTTTTTTTTGAAAATTTGAAAATGGCTTCATGTAAAATACCCCAAAAAATTAAATTATCGGTTTTAAAATTCAGGGACCGCAGCATCAGCCAGATCGATTGAGGAATATCAATTTTGGAGACAATCTGCTGAACGGATTAGACGCTTGCTTTGACGGACACGGACAAGCACACGGATGGTTTGCCGTCAATGGAATTTCGGTATAAAGAACCGACAAAACGTGGATTCTGGCGTCATCACGTGCTAGAAGTTTTTTTCTGGCGACAATTCGTGTTTTTTCGGCTCACAATCACAACTATTTCTTACGAAGAATTCGTAACGCGAGAAAGAAATAACGTAAAATAAGACAAGCTCTTTGTAAACGATGGCCGCTCAGAAATAAATTGATCGTTTAAAAAGTTGAAATCTTTTTAGGGTAAGTCTCCAATTTATCAAAATTTGTAACATATGCGCCTATAATTACATGAATATTCACCAAAAGAAAAAAAATTAGCCATTTATGCAGACATGCAAATCTACATAGCATCAAATTCCGAACAAATGTCACGAATTTCACTTGCAAATATGCAAAATCATAGAATTCCGCTCCCAATCAACGACATTAAAATGGTTGCATCGAAACATGTCATTACACAACACCAAATGAAGCTTAATAATTTGGGTTGATAGTGAAATACTTGATATGGAAAAAAATCTATCATAAAATATTTCTTTTAGAAATGCTTTTTATCGAAACTACTCACACTCGTAACCTCCAAATAGATGCTGAGCGTCTTAATGAGATTTATCACCCTATTTTACAAACATAATCCCTTTCCTTTCTTTACAGAGTAATAATTAGTTTGGTTTGACACTCTTGATTTCATTGCCACAGCACCAGTTTTTTTCTATTAGAGTTTTACAATTTCGACAGATGAATTCATCACCTACCCGACCTTTTCACCTTGTGTCACTTCGTAATTTTCAAATGACAGTTTTATGATAACTTCACGTTGTAGTCAGTTAAATTACTACATTTTCACCTATCTTCCGTTATTGCTATTAATCACACTTCACCTTTATTTCTTCTGATCCATAACTCCTCAAAAATGAAAGATTTTTTACCTCTACATGGTGGTCTCTTCCTACAGTTCTGTATACTCTTTGATACTTCGATATGTTTATGCATTTGTAAACTCTGACTACCTGTGACCAAGGAGTATTATAGAGATATCCAGGACCGTGTCTTTTGGTAGTTTGAGGGAAGCACCGTCGCCTCTGGGGAGGAAGCGGCATAAAACTCCCTGGCTGCTACAAGCCGTGAGCTTATGAATAAAACACGACATTAATGGCAATTTTCTTTTAAAACGTCCTGATCATTCGTCGTTGGAGATTTTCCTCTGCCTATTGTAGCGTTGTGCACAAACGTAGATGCAGGTGACCATGTGTTCGCCGTGTGGCAGACCACTTGGGTTACGGGTGGGGCGTCAGGATGTGACGTACCGTAAAACCCAGTAAAGGGGTTGTGGACGCAGCCAGCCCAGCTAGGCGGCTGCCACGCTTGACCGGTCCCTTATCTCCTTGAGGAGCCGAGCTGTGCGGATCGGAGGCAGCGCGCCGGGTGGGGGTGCGGACCGAGTGCGCTTAGGCTAGGGCCAGCAATGTACTTTGTCGTGAAGAAGTTAGAATCAAGTGACGAGTCGTGTAGGAATTCTGTGCTTCACACGATCGGATTTATTCGATATTTAAGTACAGAGTGTAGTAGCCGTAGAATAAAAATTACTTCTAGTAGTGGGGTCGATTTATTTCGTTAATGTAACTATTGTGGATAAGGGTTATTTCGGTGGTGGATTCATTAATAAACTATCAATAAGTTAAACCCACTCTCGTCTGTGTATTATTGCACCCTGCATGACGTCACACTATAATGGTTTATAAAGGTTTTTTGTTTTGTGTCAGTCAACGAGCTAGAATACAATACACAGAGTGGCGGAAGCGCCTCCATCTTTGAAGCAAATTGTAACCATGGTTTTTGCAGTCAAAGCAGCGCCCTCTGGAAAACAAAGTTTTCGAGCATTACTTTTGGCGCTGATTACGAACGGTTACACCGCCACTCTCATGTTTTCACTTCAGAAAACATGGCAGCCACTAGTTCGGCGAACCTCCACCGAGAAACTCTGAAACTATACGGATCGCCACTCTATGTAGTATATTCTAGCTCGATGGATTACACACTTTCTTGCAGTGAGGTGTTCTTTCTTCCCTAACGTAAGTTGTATTTTCACAATAGTCAAGTTGTATCCGATACTGAATTGGTGCAAAAGGCTAGTAGTAACAGCAGGTACGTAGTTAACATGTTCCGCTCATCTTCGTAATTCCCGATTCACACGTAAAAACATTTTCATGACATTCTCAAATGTTTGTCGTGAAAATGTAGTATGAGCATTTTCCATATTTTTTCAATAATATAATCAATTTACTTAAAGACAGAGCTCTCAATAAATTGGCAGTCTTTTAGTTGAATTTCCTGAACGTGTTGTAAAAGCAAGCCTCATAATATGTATGAGCAACTAAAAGTTTGTGAATTTTCAAGACTTTATTTGTGAAAAAGCTAAGGTAGCCAAAGCGTAGGTCTCCAAATCAACTGATTTCTTCTATCACCATATTACCTATTATTCCTTTGTAATTGTAATAATAAGTAGAACTATTTCTGTTCATTAGTTGTTCTTAACACATTCTTACGTCAGGTGATCATCCAAGAATCGTACAATTTACATGTTTTTAAAAGGAGAATGTTTCTTAGATCCTTTCCTCATTTACATTTGAATTGTAAAACGTTGTCTTTACGAGTTATGAATAAAAATTCCCAGTTGATGTGAAAACAACTAAACACATGAGTATTGGATTTGCTGATTTTAATTTAAAATATATTATTATATTCTCTGCACAGCATTTTACACTGTCATCGATCCTGGATAAAACAAATTATTACATTTTCTGCTGCTACTTCTAATAGACGGCTGAAAATAATGACATGACACGTACCGCTTACGCCAGGAGCTCATAATCCCCTTTGGCGTCATTGCACGGAACGTGTTTGACATATCGCGCAGCGCAGCGATCAAATTTCAACATATTCACGGGAAATTATTCAAAGAAAGGACAAAACAGAAGGTCATGCGTTCTCAGGAAAGTACAATGAAGCAACACGTGAAATATCAGACGACTAATGTATCGCAAGAATTCAGGAACATAAAATTGCCGTGGCTTGGATCTCACAGATATATATTTACCTCTCCCGGCTTAACTAATATAAGTAAACTTGGGTATAATTCATTATGTAACGACCAACCAGTGGTGGTAAAGTTGGTTCATACCAGTGGTTGGTTGATACCAGTTGGTTCATACACTAGATCAGAGTCAATCAGAGTTCAGAGCGGACCATATACATCTGTACAACACCAACTCGCTCAAGCGAGAATCGGTGAACTAGTTTTTCATTTTTGAAATTTTTCGCAAACGAGCCGGTTGGTTACCGTTGGATCCTTCCTCGTCGACCTATCGTTGTATATTCACGTGCTGTTCGTAGGCTGTTAACGCCATATCGCAGTCAGTGAATTAGAGAAATGAAGTGATTTTACTGCTGTTTGAAGTCTGAAGCGTGCATTTTGGCTTCGAGAAGATGATGCGTGCGTAACAAATTAGTGGAATTTTTTTAATGTTCATGTTCAGTTGCATATCCCTTGTATTGGAGCAAGCGAGGTGGCATCCACTGCAGCTATGGGTGTAATTGGTAAGATTTTTTAATAGAATATTACTAGAATATAGTTTTAAAGAATATATTTTATAGTTTTAATAGAATAATAGTTCGATGGAGGCTATGATACCAGCATTTTTTAATTTTCAGATCCTTGTACACTGGCAGCTTTTCAAAGTGAAAATGGTAAGTCTTTTGTATGTTTGTAAAATGCAAAAAGAAGCATGCTATTGCAAGCATAATGTATTGGGCTATAATTTGTTGATTAATACAGATTCTAGTGCTGTTGAACATGCTGCTACAGCAAGTGCCGCAGATGCCTTATTCTAGCTTGTGAAAGGTAAATATTTGCTATAATCTTTAAGAATCTCAATTATTACTTTGTTGCATTTATTGAGATGGGGTAGTTTCAAGTTTGTCTCCATTTTCAGATCTTTTTCACCCATGTGAGGTGTCACCTCAAGTTTTATGGACGTTTCTCATGGTATGTTCCTTTCAATATACAGTTATTAGTGCCAATTGAGGGCAAATTATAGTAAATAAAAAAACTATTTTTTGGTGATTACAGATCTTTGACTTGGACTGGTGCAAGAAGCCATTCTGGGAGATGAATCTGCGCTTCGGTGTGTGGTAAGTGCACGATATTCCTGTCTTTCTAATTTCGTAATTCTAGATGGTGAATTAAAGAAACATCTTTCTTTTTGATACAGATTTGTTTTCAGAACATTCATTTGAGGACATAGTATCTTTCTTACAATCATTTTTGCTTTTCAGATGCCTCTTCCAGAGATGGCTTCTGAAGCAATGCATATTAGACCCTACGAGTTTGACCCTAAGATGGCTTTAAATTAATATTCTCTTTGAGTAGGCAGAACTCAGAGAGATAACTTCAAAGAGTTATTGTTATATGCAGTGAATAACTTTGCTTCATTGTGCACAAAAGTTTCTGACATATTTCTTTTACGCTGACAGTTTATAAGGTATAACAAACGAGAGTTTTAAATCAGTGTGTATGTCTGTCATTGGGTACAGATCCATTATATAACTGTATTTCCCACATCTGATTTGGAAAGTTCTAATTAAATAAAATTAAAGATAAAATTAATTCTGTAAAGCATGATCATTTCTCACATTTTGGAATGCCTCTTCTATGTTAAGACACTTTATTTGAATATTATGAATACAAAGGTTTTGAGTGTCTGTTTCAGAGGCTATTTTCATGCAATTTTAGAATTTATTTAATGGCTATTATCTTGTCTGCAATTTTTATCTTTCTTATTAGTATTAATTTTTATTATTAGTATTGATATAAGTTGCTTATGTATATGTTATACTGTTCTGACATAATAGTTTCTCATGACAAAAACAATCTTGATTCAATTTATATTCTAGTATGTGTGTATCATTGTGTTTTGTTCATGTCATGCCAATTACATTCTGGATTTGAATGCTGATCTTATTAGATTGTGAATTGTTGTGAGTCGTGAATGCAATGCTTGATTCTATAGCTTCAGTTATTAGGACAATTGCCCAGTTATCAGAAGTCCCAGGCTTGGCTCCTGGTGCAATCAATGTTTGCACTTTGACAATCACTTTTCAGAATTATTATTAAATTGTGTTGCATAAGCATTGATGGAATTCCACTGTTTGTTAATCATTGTTTTTTAAGATGAATGTACTTTCACAGTGGATCCATTTTAAAAAAGCCAGGCTCTGAACTGTGAATGTGTGAGATGGGTAAATAAAATATGTCAAATATTTATTGACTAATGAAAAACATTTGCAGGTTGCACTAGTAAAGCGGTTCTCTCAGACATGCAGAGCATGCTAAAAGCTCAATTTTTTGCACTACTGCTTAAAGCGGGACAATGCTCAAATGTTCTGATAAAAACTTTGAAAAGAAAAAAAAAAAACAAAATACGTTCATGTGACCTAATCAGATCAAAAATAGAATGGCGCTTTTATCCCCTTGTATCATAATTATTTCTTTACCTGGGCAAATGTGCGGTAGTATTTTCATTTGTTTCTTTTCAATTCTGTTATTGTTTATTCATAATGCTTGTTTTATAATGTTTGTATTCCATAGGTATTAATTTGGCATATCTACAAGCAAATACTAAAGTTGCAATTATGCAGGTGTACTGTTTATTATTATAATATCAATATGCTCAATAAATACTAGATTTTACTACCTTAATTTGACTTTTTTTCTTCCATAAAAATCCTTATAATTATTATTGTGAATTTCTTAATAAATTAAGAAAGTATGGGAGTGAAATTTTAAAGTTCCAGCGTCGCTGGTTTATTTCAAATTCACCGGTTACTTCTTCGCTATTGGCTGTCCGTTCACCCAATAGAAATTATACAGAACAATGTGGCGGCACCGGAAGTTGGGCAAATATAGCTTTTCCTTTTAACATTGAGTGCCGTCTCTGATATATACTCTTTGGTTCATACAAAAATCAAATAAAGGCTCTCTTGGATCATTGCTTCCGTTTGCTCATTTCAAACGCGGAGAGGTACCGGAACGCCGTCCCAGTGCGTTCGCCCTGAAATCAATCCTTGGACCACGGGCATCCTTTGGCATTCTATCTGACAACACTGCAAACCTGAAGGTCAGGGGTCCTATTCCGGTCGCAAATTGTCAATGCTTTCCACGATCTTTCCGTCATATATATATATATATATATATATATATATATATATATATATATATATATACGATAGTCTTCCTTTTAAAGTTTGCTTGCTTGCTATTAGATGCCAAAACATTGTTGGCATTGTGGCACTCTGTAGTGGTTTCCATGCATCAAGTAAAGAAGATTGTTTTTTGTCTTAAATTTTCGAATGATAGTGAAAGAAGGTCTCTATAAATAATTTTTTTTTAAATCTCGAGCTAAACATCGAGTCGTCAAATGCATAAAACATTGTAATAACTTTTAAAAAAAGCTAGGGAAGAAGAGAAGAAATGTTTTTAAATTAAAATATATATAGTGTCCTTGATGTAATTTTTCGATTGAATAAATTCCCACTCTTATTTTGGAAGTTTACAAAAGCAATTCAGAAACACTTTTTGCAATAAAAGATTTATCTAACGGTTTACATTTAATTCGAGTTACGTCATTTAGGACGTTGTGCATAGGATATATATATATATATATATATATATATATATATATATATATATATATATATATATACAGAGTGCCACAATGCCAACAATGTTTTCGCATCCAATAGCAAGCAAGCAAACTTTAATAGGAAGAAATAGAATGTATGAAAAAAGTTACGTTGGTGTTCACAAATATATTCACCCGGCGGCGGTCGCAATATATCTGTGAGACCCAAGCAATGTTCCTGCTTATTATTGTGATGTTGAAGCCGTCTGATATTTCATGTATTCCTTCATAATACTTTTCTGAGATCGCCCGGCCTTTTATTTTTATTCTTTCGCTGAATAATTTTCCGTGGGCATGTTGAAATTTGATCGCTCCACTGCGTGATATTTGTCTTAAACATTACGTGTACTGAGACCTATGCATTCTGAGCTCCTGACGTAAGCATTTCGTGTCATGGCTTTATTTTCAGCTGTGTCCATGAGAAGTGCAAACAGAAAATGTAATAATTTGTCTTATCTTAGATCGACTGACATAATTTCTTCGCAAAGAGAAAAATGATGTTCATGAGACGTCTATAGAAATATGAAAACACTGCAAAACGGATACAGGACAGACACTAAATATTTTTGTAAAACATTTAAAATATGTGTATGTTGATTACTTGCCAAAATCAACTGTGTATATTATTTGTCAATTTTTACTTTTCTTACCAAACGTATTCAGACAAGATTTCTGCATTAAAGAATTCATTAACAATTGCATTGGCGGACATGTACAACCTAAATATAATACATATTTTAGTAAGTGGAGCTTTAGATCATTCGCATTCACAAAAATTTCAAGCTATGTCAGAGATACATTGTGGGCACTGGTTTGAGTCTTACCTATTGCGTGTACTTCCGGGTTAAGGTCACAAAAATCACTGCAATAAAATAAACAAGTTCACGCGCTATTCATGAAAATTTGACTCCTCAGCTGGCATTATTTTTTTTATCTCGAACTGTTGACTTTTCGGTCTCTTGGAATTCGTGTTAACGAGGATTTACTTACTAGGATAAATCGTTTTTAATTAAAAATATTCCAGCAACATAATTCATCTTCTATTTAACTCTCCATAAATGTAAATAAATAGAGATCCTTAGTTCAAACCCAAGTTGGATGTTTTATTTTCTTAATAAGAGAAAGAAAGACAAAATTCATGTTCACAATGAGCGTTAATTGCTTGAGTTAATACCCTAATAACCTACAAGCAAAGTGACGTTACAAACACATTTTAAGTTGGCAACATTCATTTATGAAGTAGTATAGTGATATTTGCCAACACTTTTTCGAGGTTACTACGCTGAAAGATAATTCCAGAATGATAGATATTTTCAAAGAAGATGGCATTTAATGACAGAGAATTTATTGCAAAAATTGATAAGATAATATATAAGTAACATATTTATAACGATTAGTTCTGTTCACTATTATGAGTTTTTTTACATTTATTATACCACAACATTATTGAGTTTTATTTATTTTTCTGAAAAAACCTTATCAATGTTTTTCAAACATTTATATTTTTCAAACATTTTGAATATTTTTCAATTATTATATTGTTTCAATAGTACTAACGATATTATTGGATAGTTTATTTAAAGAGTATAGATTGTTTTCGTACTATCGAGGATTAACGCGCTCTACTCAAAGAGGGAAGGTTGAGATGTTCTAAACACAACACTGAGTCCGTTGGTCGGCTGTGGCGCTGTCAACCAATCAGGAGCGTGAACGTCAATGTGGTGACATTCAAGCCCCCGATCGGATGACGGCGTCACAACTGTTCAAATATTAAAGGAATTAAGGTTTTCATGGTGGCGATAGCATAAATGCTTGCAGCTTTCAAAGCAATCTTGAGGCGAAGATTGGCTGCTTGAAGTAGCTTCCAAATCAACTGAAAAAATACTATTTTGGAAATAAATAAATTAATACTTTACAATTAAAATATTTTTTTTAAATTTAAAATTCGATTGCAGGTGCATCAACTTTTTGCATTTGTTCGGGCAATATAATTTCAAAATTTTCACGCTTTACTAACTTAAGGTTTGGAATTATAGCCTCTTTGAGAGTGTTCATTTGCTTTATCTGCGGGTAATTTACTATGGCAACTCACATGTTCGTGGGATATAATCTTTTTACCGGGCCAGGCCAACAGGGTTGAAGAAATGAGGGTAGACAAGAAAAAAATACTAATATTTATTAATCGTCACGGGAATGTAATTACATATCATCGCTTCTAAACTGCAATTATTAATATTTTTGGTAAGTTATTCTGGAATTTTACTTTTAAAGAAAGCAAGGGTTATGGGCGTTCCAGGTTTCAATTAAATGACATAGTGATGTAGTTGATTTTTCTTTTTTAGAAGCCCTGCATCATTTCCGCAAACAGCAGAAAGTGGAGCTTGGATAAAATTAATCCAGATAATCCGTGGCATAACACAGTGTCTTTCAGGAATCAGAATGAATTTAAATTTTTCCTTGTGAAAAGATAAATGGAATTAGTATTTAAGAGTTGCAGCACATACTCCCTATAAGGTACACAAATGGTCAAGCCTAGTAATTATTGTTCAGTTTCTTCTTCATTTTTTGCGCAAGCAAAATTAAATTTTTAAAGAGAAATTAGGAATATAGGAATTTTTTTCAGCAATTTATTGAAAACTAGAGGTATTCTATCAATGAAGGGTC